ATGCTTGCATTCGAACGTGGAACGTGCAAAATCGAACGTTACAGAGCCACCTGGGTGGTTCAGCCATCATAACATGGTCGCGTCTTGCGGACGCGCTCGCGCCCCCTGCCCCAGAGCAACGGGTCTATGAAGCGGCTGGATCCAATCAGGGACGCTATATTTTCACGTGATATCTCGTGCCGGTGACGATGACAACAAAAGACTTGGTTCTGGTTTGAAATTGATCGTTTTTGGAAATCCACTGTTTCAGAAAGATGCGTTAGTATTCTCAACGAGATTTAAATGCATAAAACACGTTTATAGCGCGTAATTGTGTGTCTGAATAGTGCAAGAAGAATAAATTTCATGATGATGAGGATGGCAACTTGCAGCAATTGGTTGCTGCGTGTGGACGCGGGCGGCTCGTGTTGCGGGTGTTCCAACGTCAAGTTTCTGGGCGGAATCGCCCCATCTGAAGCGGGCCTGAGTGGCTTGAGGGCCATGAGTCCGTGAGGGGCGTGAGGGGAACGCGTGCGTGAGCGCCGTGAGGGCCGTGAATGCGTCAGGGGAGTGAGGGCTATGAGTGAGTGAGGGGCGTGAGGGCGGTGAGGGGCCTGGGGGCCATGAGTGAGTGAGGGGCCTGAGGGCGGTGAGTGGCTTGAGGGCCACGAGTGTGTGAGGGCCGTGAGGGCGGTGAGAGGCGTGAGGGCCATGAGTGAGTGAGGGGCGTGAGGGCGGTGAGTGACATGAGGCCCATGAGTGCGTGAGGGGTATGAGGGCCATGAGGGCGGTGAGTGCGTGAGGGGCGTGAGTGCGTGAGGGGCGTGGGGGCCGTGAAATTCAGTGTGGGTGAGTGAAGGGCTGACGGTGAGTGTAGTTGTGAGGGTGAGGGTGAGTGAGGGGCTTAGGTGAACGTGGCTGTCAGGGTGAGGGTGAGTGAGGGCGACCTAAAATGCCGACCTTTGCCTGCTAGTCTACTTTTAGGGATTGAGCTACCCTCTGGGGCTCATGTTATTCTTTTTTTTTCAACTCATGACTAGTCTGCTCACTAGAAAATATTCGTCATCTCAGGGAGGCACCATGGGCGGAGTGGGGCGATGTCTTCAGGTTTCACCTGGCCCTACGAAAGTAGAAACTGGCCTGCATGGATGTGAGCCGGCAGCTGTCGTTTTTGGCTTTTATCTGCGGGACGATGTTCCTGATAGAGGGGGGGGGGGGGGCGCTGCGTGGGGGTAAAGCTCCCCGATTTGAGTGTAGCGAGGCAAGTTCTTTATTTCACGTGAGTATGTAGACTTTCCAATTTGTTTTATCGTGCCTTGGTTAGTTCTAAGCACGCCGTGCCGTTGCATGTCTTTGAGGTCAGAGCCGTCAATGTAAGGTGGCTCCGATTAATAAGTACGTCGCCTTGACCTCATGCTAAATTTGTAAGCCACCAGGAGCGAAAAGGAAACCAGCTGTTCCTATTTTTATAATATTTGATATTCGGCACCATTTGCCAAAATTCAATGAAAAAACTTAGGTGAATGTATTCCACACATTTTAGTGTTCTGTCGCTTCTGGAAACCTGGTTTGCGTGACACTTCTAAAACATCTTAAGGACGGCCATTATTTTTACTTTGAATTTATGAGGACTACGAGCCCTCGCTTAATGTACGTGTGAGGCCATCAGCGTCCCATACACTGAGATCCTGAATTAGCGTGGCCACTTGTTTCAGATATTTTATTGAATTAAAACGCCTTCTCGTAAATTTAAAATAATGCTCTTACCATCCTTAATGCAGTTCGATTTTTGTTATAATTGAGTACCTAAGCAATGTGACAACGCCGTTCATTGGCTTTACGAATTCAAGGACAAGCGTGATGTATTTTATCTCTGACAATGTCCTTTAAGTATAAAGGAAAAAAAAACAATTGAGACGCTTTAGATTTACTCTTTCCAAAGCCACGTCCCACGAACGTGAGCCTAATGTCTTTGCGAGTGAGAAAACCCGAAAGTCCAACTACCACACCACACCCCCGTCCATTGAACACCAAAAAAAGTTTAGGTGAACGCACTAAAAGAAAATAAAAGAAAGGAAAGGACGCCCTTCTTTCGTCAATGATAAAAATTGGTGCTGCGAAAACGATCTGAAGGTTGGTTTGCCACATCCCTGAGCAGACACAAATCCACAGTCAATCAATACCAATATCCAGAACTCTGCCGTCTTGAACGCAACGCTCACCTCTTCAATTCATATACCTCCGTGGGCACTGCACTCAGCGGGAAAGACAAGACTAAGTGAAAGCCTCCGCGAAAACAAACGTGAAAAATAAAACTCACCCCCAAAAACACCCAACCTAAAGAAACAGCGAGGGATCTAAAGAAACGAGAATCCCCTTCTCAGGAGCAAGAAAAAACACCCACACAGGAAAAGCATGAAATCGAGTCTAGGGCGGGGGCGCTCGCTTTACACAAAGTTTCCTTTGACTCAGGGGGGTGGGAAGCTGAAACAAACAAACAAAGAACCACAGCTCTCTGCGTTGGTTGGCGGCGTCCTCGAAGCTCGCGAAAAAGGAGAGAGACGGCGACGCCGGCCGATCTCGAAGAAGAAAGAGCTCCTGTTACTCAGTCAGCCGTAAGGCTCCAGACGCGGGTGCCTCCGTGGGATAAGCGCGCGCGGGGCTGGCCGTGCGCCAGAGGCGCCGAGAAGCTGAGACAATAACGAAATTCGGACACTTGCAGCAGACAAGCTTCTTTTCCGATTTCTCTTTATAGGCGTTTCGGTGGAGGGACGACTGAGGGTTTTATTTGGAAGGTGTTGGACGCCGTGGTAAACCGGATTTCTTGATAGAAGAAGCCCGCGTGCGCCGTTGAAACTAGAAGTGCATCTGCAGCAGCCACTCGGGTGCTCTCCGGTGAAGCCATTGCGGGTCAAAAGGAGACTGGCAGTAGCTACCGAACCTCCGAAAGGGACCGAACGCCCGCGCACCGCGAGGAAATGCATAGCGATAGACGATGCGCCGCCCAGAGCCGCATTCCTTTCAATTGAGCTGTGGTGGTTGAGACGGCGCCTTGCCAACGAGTTCTTTTGTTTCAGCTTATTAGGTTGTTGCGCTCGAACTGCGAGAAGGTAGAGGTAAGATAAGGATGCTCGGAGTGTTTCTTATATCACGAGGAATCATGTATCCTCGGGGGGAGCGACTGAATGAAAACTTTCCAACACCTGCATTATCTAGAGTGAGTGCGTTCAAAGAATGGGGATTTCTTCCTTTTTTTTTTTTTTCGTTTGCGGCGCTAAATTGAGCGGACGCAAATAGTGGAACACAGTTCATAGTGAATCTGGTCGCGTTGATCGTGTGTAAGTTGTAGGAGACAAATGGCATTCTAGGAAGTTGAGGACTCTGCGAATTCAGCCTTACATAACTTCGCTGGGGGGGGGGGGGGGGGGGGGGGGCAACACAATAGATGCAGTGAGATTGTCAATTTGGTGTCTGCAGCGTGTATTGATACGTATGAATAGCTATTACAGATTTGTAAATGGTTGAAATTTTCTAAATTGAAAGTAATACGAATAGTAGGTTTTAATCGTTGTTCTTCATTGCGCAGGAAATAAAAATTGAAAAAAAAAAAACAAATTGCTTTATTTACTAAGGTTTTGGAGCGCCTCAGAAAACCTCACTTTGACAGCAACGGATAGTTTCTTTTTATGTGTGAATAGTTTTATATCTGATGTGGGCCACAGTTAAAAAAAGTGTAAAGCCACAAATGAGAACATGAAGTATTTTAAAGTTTTACAAATGCCCGGTTGTAAGAAGATACTGGTCGAATGACTCGAACTTAGAGGTCCTCAATATCTCTGTGCGTGCCGTGTACAGAAGCATCAGGGCAGTGTCTCCTAAAAAATAAGCGGCAATAAACATAATTAAATATTTAAGCTGAAAAAATGCGCTGACGTCTATTTTGTTTTTGGGGGGGAGGGGGGGGGGGGAAAGGTGAGGAAGGGTTTTGTCTAAACACACGAGTCTACGACTGCAATAAGAACTATAGGCCAATCTCGCCTTTATGTGTATTTTCAGCAGAGTTATAAAAGTGGTCAGTAGGCATCTCTGGTTCGTTTTTGAACGCACAGAGAAACAGCGCCGTGCATTTGCGGCTAACAGAGAGGCGACACTACTACTAATATAGAGTATTTTTTTTTAATAACTGTACCGTATTTACTTTCGAAACAAAAAGTCTATTTTAATTTTAAGAAATCGTTCGAGCGGGTTATTTACTTTATCTAAACTAAATAAACAGTCCTGTTGGCTTTTTGGTGGCCTTCTCTTGTTGGACAAAAAAAGTTATTAATCACTTATGGAATGTTTTTTTTTCAATCAATGATTTGTTTTCTGGTTAGCTACTAATGCTTATAGAGTGAACTGATTATTCTGACAGACGTACAAACTGTTCTTCTTTGTAGAAAGGAAACGTATTAATAAATGTAAAAAAAAGTCAAAGTGCGTGTCTATAGGAAATAAAAAGCATATGCAAATGGGACTCATTGGTGAACAGTCCATTGGTGAAGTCGAGAGGAGAAATTCAACTGGTGAATTGGCGATTGAGTTGGCGACAAGGGAAGAAGATTTTTGTTCCCCGAGGGATTGCGAGTTTGAACTTCAAAGAACTCTTTGAGCAGCAATCCACGCAGTATAGGCATTGTTTGCTACCAAAGTTTTGTATGAATGCCCGAAAACGTAAAAGTAGTTGCATATTCTCTCAATTTTAGGAGGTAGTACCCTGAGCCCTTCCCCGTAAACTCTTTTAGGAGACAGGGCTATATCAGCGCTGTATCAGCATTCCGCCACATGTGGTCCCACCTTTTATTGCTTAGACACACAATGCGACACTAACACAGCGCTAATTCAACACTCACCTTGCGTTATATTAGTGCTAAGACGCATGCGTAAGTCGGCGTTCAGTCGTACCAAACTTGAGCCCACTGCACTAATGCCTGCGAGAGTTGAAGAATTCAGAGTGAACAAGGAAGACGCAGACAGAAATGTAATGATGCAACCGCTACGCTTTAATGAATCCTTGGGACCGCAAACCGATATTTACAGGGAGAGGCAAATAAAATTATCTTAACTTCAAACATCACACGCAGCACACGACGGGAAAGAAAACAGAACCCTTGTCTTTCTCGTAACAACTCCTGGGTGTCCATGCGGATGACTTTCGTCCCAGTGATGACGGATAGCTCCGGGATCGCCACCTCGACCACAGGTCCCAAGGTAAAGATCACCAGCATGCCTATTCCGGGCGGCTATCGAGAGGCATGCCACTTACTCCCCCCCCCCCCCCCTCCCCCTCTCCCTTTTTCTGCTTCACCGTTGCTTTCGTAAATGTAGAATCAAACCATTTGCTCTTAAACCAAAGAAAGCGGTTTTAACAACTGCGCGACCTGCTTAAAATGCGCACAAGCGCGACTCCATTTACACGCACGCACACACACTTCTACGTTTTCCGTCTACGCCGCTTTCAGGGGCGAGCAGATCGAGCCAGCCGAGGCAACGGGCGGGGAGCTCCACATCGGCTATGTCCGGTGCACTGTGTCATTTCAGTGTCCGCTGCCGACGGCGACGAGAGGGCGACCCGCGGGCACAGTTCTGCCACGATGCTTGCACGGAAATCGGGTTTGCCGGAGTTGGGTGTCAGCGCAAGCACGCCCTCTGGAGCCAGAACAGTGCGTGCCCCAGGAACAGGAGCCAGGTCAGCGGTGGAAGTGATGTCCGAGAGCAGGCGGCTGTAATAACAGAAATACAAAGAAACCTTATGTTGTGTTTGTTTTTCTGCCTATGGTTTCAGCAATGAGCAGCCGGTAGATGCATGTTCACACGTACACCCCAGCACTAACTCACCGCTATATGTAGCAATGAGTTAGAGCTGCCTTTACAGTCTATATCAATATAAAATTGCCATTCGAGGACGCAATTTTAGGCGGCCGTGCTGGATTCACTTTGACCAGGCCCACATCTTTGTGGGTGAGGAAATAAATAAACCCTTGTTCTGTTCTTTCTTCCTCAAAGTGTCTCCGGCAAAAGTATGCCTAGCACTGCCGCGTAAACAACTTACTAAACACATAGGTCTTATATATTGTGTTGAATACTGAACGTGGTGATCGTACTCATCGTCGACTTTCCGATATATCTCCGGTGTATTAGCGCTCCACTGCATGTGAACCGGCCTCTTTCTGTTCACAAAGAAAGGCATCGCTAACGCAGCGCTGAGCCAGGGCTGACATTAAGCGCTACAATGCATATGTGTGCACTGGCCTGAATACTCCTGTTGGGCAGGCACGCCGCTTCAAATGCAATTTTCAGCGCGCTCCTAGTTCTTAAACTTTGACCTTGTGACCAATCCAAGGTACATATAAAAGTTATTTAATCTAAAATAATTTGAAGGCCGACTGTTTTTCAACCCTGATTGTGCACTTTGATCTTTATTTGAATTTCTCGGGAATTTATGGGAAGGGTACAGCCACGCCGAATCGCTGCCATATCCTTTCTTTTTCCCATATAGTTAAAAGAACAGCTGCCTGGATATCACCTCACATTATTGAATGAAACTGAGATATGCGCTGCAAAAGCGTGGTAAGCTGGACGAGTTTATATCATGACATAGCGAACTGAAAAGCGCCCAAAAAGACTAGGGCAGAGAAAAGGGACATGAAGATGTGCACGAATTGAGTTCCGAGTTAGCGCTTGTGTGTTCTGAATGTTCCTTTTCTCTCTCCTTGTCGTTTAGTGCGCTGTTCTGTTCAATATAGATAAAATATGCACATGATCATCAAATGACAAAAACAATAGAAGATAAATCAACACAAAAATTAAAGTAAATAAAATCAGGATAAAAGACTAACCACAAAAATACAGCGCAAAATAAAAATAAAAATAATCCAACCTTATCAGTTCTCATATTTTCTCACACCTGATCTGAAATCTGCTTAGTCGGCCAATAACTTACAGGTTAGACTAAAACAGAGACCCGCCTGAAGACCGACACAATAAAAAAATATAGATTGAAAACCTGGCCTACTGAAAAACATCATCAACTTGCTTTTGGTAAAAAAAAAAAGTGGCAGTTACCTTTCCCTTTAAAACCCTACAACGCATGAAATGCGGTATTTAAGAAGCGATCATTTCGATTTGTTTTCAGGACTATATACAGTTTTCTAGGGTGTGGGTGACGTGGCATCAATATGTATTCATATATATATATATATTCAAATGATATTTGCCCTTACGGAGATGGTCGTCTAAATCAAAGAGAAGGTCGCTAAAAAAGTTGTGTCTGCAGATACGTTTCAAGCCTGGTAGGCTCGTCGTCAGTCCGAGAAAGAACCAACGACGAAGAGCCTACCAGGCTGGAAACGTATCTGCCGACACAACCTTTTTGGCGACCTTCTCTTTGATTTAGACGACCATCTGCTTAAGGGCGAATATCATTTGAACATATTTCTTTCGAGTGCCTTTTTTTATCCCAGGTGCTGTTCCTATATATATATATATATACAGGGATGGGCAAAATACATGCAAATATGTATCGAAATACATATACAAAATACTTCGTAAAAATGTATTTAATTACAAATCTAATTACATTTCCAAAAAAGCATTTAAGTACAAGATACAAATACAACCAAATGTATTTGGTCTCCTCCAAATACTTTTTCCAAATACATTCCTCAAAATTTGCGTCAGCGACTTCAGGGCACCTGTAACGGGTTTCTGGGTATATCATTTTAAAATTTAATTTTGCATCGCAGACTCGGGAGTTATTGTGCAAGGCTCTAGTAACGTAATAGAAATATAATCACAAAAAAATGTAATCAGCTTGGACGTAATAGGTGAAAAAAGTACGGATCTTCAAGCAGCTTTTTTTGTCGATTACATTTTAGTATAGACCAACAAAGAACCGAGACGACCAAGACGAGCAGCCCTAGCTAGAGAAATTTTATTGTTGCAACTCGCACCAGTTACGAAAATCTGGAACACCGCGCATTTAGAATGTTCCAGGCAAAAATATGGATGGAAATCAGGCTGGAAAGCATCACAAGTTGTCACAGGCACTTATTTAGCCAGTCTGCATGTGAACGTCGATTTCGTCACTATTCTTGCTCTGGACTAGCGGCGTAATCACAAAGTCACTAAACGCTTGTGCTTGATTGAGAGACACTGCATTCGGTGCAGAACGTACTTTTCTTCCTGCTCAGGACAGTGACACTAAATTTGAGAAATGTATTTTCGCCCTCAAAATTGTATTTAATTGCAAGTGTATTTTAAATACCCGCGTTTTAGTATTTAAATACACATATCAAATACATTGTCCATCCCTGTATACATATATATATATATATATATATATATATATATTAAAATAAATGCCAGGTAACATGGTGTCACGTAATGTCATTTCTCGCGCTGAATATAGCGGGTAACCTGCATTGGTACAGAATTCACGTGAATTCAGGTTACGTGACATCAATTTTCCGCCAAATTTAGCGGGGAGACTGTATTGCTGTATAGTTGATGTGACGTCAGTTATTTCCACTACATTTAGCGGGGAAACTGAATTCGAGTATACTCTACGTGAGATCAGTTTCCCCGCTAAATTCAACTTGAAGTGCAAGGACGTTCGGAGGGACAACATTTTGGGATTGTGGGGTAGCGTTAAAAAGCGTTTCTTACTTTACAAACCTTAAAAAAAACATGTAAAAAAAGTAAACAGTGTAATTCAGTAACTAATAAAGACCTTTGCAAAATAAAAAAGCAACAACAGAAGTGCTAAGGAACAGGCGTAAAGCGATACACTGAGGGAGGACGCAGTCGAGACGCCTCGGCGTACGCGGAAGCAGTAGTGAAAGCGAATACACGAAAAATGCGGTTTTAAGATTTGTTACGACCATTTGCGCACACTTGGAACGGTAAAGTGTGATAACTACGCGCATGCCATATTCTTCGAGAGAAGAACAATGTTAATATATTCTTTATAGTTTAGCTGTGGTACTGTAAACTCGAGATATTTTTTAATGTAGTTCAGCAAATGCGGATCCAGATATTTTTGTTCGCAGTCTTCTGTGTTTCCCGGCTTTCTTATTTATGACCTTTCGGAATGTCGGTGGTTTGCCACTTTCTTCCGTGATATTGGCAGCCAGCTATACTTCGGGTGACCGAAAAAAAAAAACGACCTACAAAAAGTTTTCCACCCAGGCAGGAAAATAGGGAGTTTTAGAATAACGTACGGAATTTTAGCGCACCTAGCGCTAAATTTAGCGCTTGTATTAGCGCACGCGACGCAAGAGAGTTTTAGAATAGCGTTTCTCCGTCGCAACGCAAAAGCCCTAGCAGCTCGCGCTTGCGACGCCACCAAGATACGGTCACAATATTTATTTCACACACGAAACGCTGAACTTTAGAAAAAAAACCCAGTTTTTTGGTTCAGAGTACTAATTTAGATTTGTTTAAAAATGAGAATGCGACGCGAGCGGTTGACCGGTCGTGTCCACTTGCGTCACCTCGGCAAGAGAGGTCTTGTGTACTGACCTTCGCACGAGAAATGTTCGCGCGTCGCAAGCATCAAGTTGCCGGTGATCGCTGCCAAACCGAGTACGATGTTGTCCCGTATTGAAAATCGCAGTTGCGAGGATGCCGCTGACGTCGCACTCACGACACCGCCAAAGCAGCCGCCGACATAGTCCTGGGAGCTGCCATTTTTTAAACTCTGCTCGTCTTGGCTTTAGCCAACTTCTCATCATGAATTCTCCTTGGAGAAGCGCAAAGACTCTTTGCGTATGCACGCTATTTCTGAGAAATAGCGCACGCTAAAATTGTGCCGCAAAGCGTGAAACCTGGTTTGCGTTCGGAGCATGCGCACTGGCGACGACGCTATTCTTGGCGTACGCAAAGCTTTAGCGTGCGCTATTCTAAAACTCCCTAATAATCCTCGGTGCACCCTTCCGATTTCCCCCTCTGTCACTGCTATCTTGAGGGCGGGGGACTCCTTTTCTTGCTGTCTCTCGCAACTTTGCAACGCGCAGAGTTTCAAAGCGGAGAGCAAGTTAGTCCGCTTCTTTCACGGGGGTTGCAATGATGTCAGAACGCTGAGCTCTTATTGGCTGATGAAAACCATATAGTGAGTAGACTTCGAAGCATTTGGCATTGAGGTCTTCCCACTATTGTTTCAATAAGAGCTAATCAGAGCTCAGCGTTGTTCTGACGTCCCCTCGGCACCTGCGCAAGAATCAGACGACTTGCTCTATGCCTACTCCGCTTCCCTTGACGTCCGACCGGAAGAGGATAGACGATTCGAACTACTGTCGAGACCGGTTATAACGAAGTCGGTTATAACGAAATTGCGGCTACAGCGAAGCGATCACGATTTCCCATTCCCTTTTGCACTCCGTTATAACCGAAGTCGGTTATAACGAAATCGCGGATATAGCGAATGGATTTCCGATTCCTGTTGACTCCGTTAAAACCGGTCTCGAGAGTAATAGATGAATCATCGCAAAAGGTGTACAGTCCCGATACTGTATTTTGTTAAACCTTAAGTCCAGACGCGGCCGCCGCCACGAGCTAATGGGTCCAGGTAAGCAGCGTTAAAAGCGGCAGTCCCTGGGGCATTTTTTTTTATCATTGGTTTATCATTGATAAAACACGTACAGAAACATGAAGAACGCCATGATGGTACGCTTTTGACTCTCTCTGATTGGTCCGATCAGCTCGTAACGTCGGTTGCGTGGCG